TAGCGGGACCTTTCAATTAAAGTCGGATCCTTGCGATAAATGCAAGAGTGGCAACTGTAAAAAAAAAAACGAATACTTCATCATTTCTTAACAGTGCTGGAGTAATACGACATGCACTAAACTAAGGACACGGGATTTACTACAATAGATCAATTTACTGGTCGCAGTAGTGTTAGGTCCCGAACAGAGGAAAAAAATTCGATGATTTCTAGAAATCGAAGGCTCGCCCACGCAAACCAACATAACTATCGGTTAGGGGAAGTCTTCCACTTGTGGGCGTGCCTTGAATTCCTAGAAATCATCGAGAGTAGTCATTGTTTACAAACGTTATAACACCCTAATTCCAGCTCTATCTAGGAATGTCACTTCGTGCATATTATAGAAGATCATTTTTAATTTGAAGTTCTACTAATCAGAAAAGGGAGTTTCTGGTAGCCTTATTTGCTGTTTTGTTTTGATTCTGAGTTCGTTTCGCATCATTTCATTTCGCTTTTCTCCATTCCATCTGATAAATGTCATTTGAGCAATAATTTTGTGTTATATTATATGCAATGGTTGGTCAGAAACACGGCGGCACGCCGACTCAAAATCACCGGCGGCGGCGTGTGAAAAAGTGCCAACGCCGGCGCACAGGAATAATTCGACAGTGAGCATGCATAAGGGCGAATACTCGATGATCGATTCTCTTCATCGATTTTCTCTTTGAATTGCTACAGCTAAGCGAAACAATTTTCTAGAATTTGTTCAATGCAGAGTAGTAACTGGTTGTATTGGTTATCAAAAGCAACAGCTAACGCACCGAGAAACGTTAAATCTAGCGAGTTATTAACAAAGGAGAAAATCGATGAAGAGAATCGATCATCGCGTATAGGCCCTTATGCATGCTCACTGTCGAATTACGCTCCGTGTTAGTTGACAATCTGGGCAAAAACGACTCTCATGAAAACAGTGCACTCATTTCTTTTGTTGCATGATTTTCATTTTTTCGATTTCTTCATCATTTAGGTTAGTTGTCAACTTCGGAAACCATTGACTGTTTTTGGCAACCAAAATTCAAACGTTAATTTCACCGTACATTCCCATCAAAACACTTCGCTGAATGTTTTTACACGATTCCTTAGTCTTTCACAGTGTTGGAAAAAATATCAAAAAATTAAATTTCACCAAAGCCCAAGATCACAACACTGTAGTCAGCAAGCACACAACTGTAGTTGATATTGCAAGCTGTGATGTCGCAGCTCGGAAAATCTAGCTAACAAAACTCACCAGCTGCAAATATCTCCAAACGGTGGTGAGATTGAGTTTCATGATTTCTCGATGAACATTTCAAATGGTCCTATCTGCTTTGATCGATTCTCTTCATCGACTTTCTCTTTCGTCAATCACTCAGCTGCAAAACCATTCCTTGTTGTATTTGACGTTTTGGACGCTAGATAAGAACCTCCTTTATCAAACTATGTGGTAGAATTAGCGCGAAATCTGTTTGCATAGCAGCCCTAATAAAAAATAACCATAAACGAACGATAACCCAAATCATTGAACTATTCCACAAATGGTTTGGATGATACCCAGAACACGTCGTTAAGCAAATTAACCATACAATTTCTATTAGGGAGTGGTTATGAAAAGAGAAAGTCGATGAAGAGAATCGATCAAAGCAGATAGGACCATTTGAAATGTTCATCGAGATTTTTGCTTTACACCCGAACGCAACCGAAACTTCCATAACGGCTGGCAGCAGTCACTTCCTGTCTGCCTTCGGTGAAGATAAAAAAGAGATAGCATTATTATAGGTACCTTCTCTATCTAAGAAAACGAGGTGCAACGGAATCGTTTTTGCGTCGATTCAACTCTCAGCTTCAATCGAGGCTTCAACTTTACACGTTGTGAATAGTCTCGCAATCTCAAAGGAGCTTGTAAAATCAATATCAAGCATTATATTTTGCTCCAATATCACGCGTGATATTGAGAGCGTGAGAGCAGAAAAATATCAATTAGCTAATGATGCCATCACTGGTCTGCAGGGCTGGTAGCAATCACTGCTGTTAAAAATAGTGATTTTAGTGACCATTTTGATGAAATAAGTGACCAAATAGTGACTTATAGTTGTATAAATAGTGACTAAAAAGTGACCTAAGAGTAAATTTTAATGAAAACTCTTTGGAATTTCTGAGGAGCTTCAGAGGAAAATTCCAAGGGTATTCTGAGCATAATTTCATAAAGTTTGTGGGAGAAAACGAATCCGGAGCACAAGTCCTTGGAGTTTTTTTTTTTAAAATACTAAAAGAGGATTACAATTAAATCTGAGAATAACTCCAGGACATCTTCAAAGGAATTCGGAAAATGAACTCAGGAGAGTTTGCCAAACAAATTATGAGAAGAAATCTAAGTAATTTGTGAGGAGAAATGCCATGAGGAGACTTTCAATGTGAGTAAAATTCCAAGGGAAGGAGTGAGATTGAAAAGGAAATCTGAAATTAATTCAATGAATATTCGGAGAATCTTTCGAAAGGGTTTCTTATTGTGGAGAATTCCAAGGAAAACTAAAAGAAAATTGAATTCGGAGGATAGCTTCACCAAAATTTTGAGGAATATTTCAAAGTAAATCTCCGTAGAATATGGAATGGACTATTCTGAAGTTTTTAGAACTACTTCTCATTTTTTCCTGAAGTTAATGAAACTGTCTTGAAGTTCTTTTGCAGTTTGAGAAACTAGCCTGAGACTCACAATACTTCTCATCAAATTCTTAAACTTCCCTGAACTTTTTAGGACTTCCTAAAGTTTCCTAAATTTTTATCAATGATCATGGATCTCCTCTAAACGTCTAACAATTCGCTGAAGTTCTCTAAACTTCTTTAAAATTTATGTGACTTCTCTAATGTTAACGGAACTGCTCTGAGGTTATTTGTTCTTTTCTGTAACTCTCAAAACGTCTCTAAAGTTTTAGCAGTTCTCATGAATCTTGTTGTATTGCGCTGAATTTAATTGAACCGCCCTAAAAATGTTTAAGCTTCAGTGAGTTTCTGAACGTATGCGAAGACCTCAATTAACTTTATAACGTATCTGAAGTTATCTGAAAATCTGGAAACTACTTTAAACTTCCCACTAATTTTCTGAAACTAAAGGAACTGGCCTCCCCAATGTTTATAAAAATCCTGAAGTTCGTGGATCTCTCCTTAAGCTCCATAGATTTCTGTAAAGTTCACTGTCCTTATGTGAAGTTTTCGAAGTTTTTCTACATTTCTGTAACTTTTGTGTTACCCAAATTTTCATGGAATTAGAACGAAATTAATAATACAGTTCTATGATTTTCATTGAAGTTCTCAAGATTTTTTGAAGTTCACTTCCCATAAATTATCGACACTTATTTAAAACTTGTTCAATAGTCTAGACTTTCCTGGTGGTATTTAAACTGCCTAACGATTATTGAATTCCCTTAAAGTTCTCTAGACTTCCCATAACTTTCAATATATTTTTAAGAACCCGCAACTTTACTGAAATTCACTTATTAGCCTTGAAGTTTCGACAATTTCCCTTAAGTATTATAACCATTATAAACGGTCCCTAATTTTCCCTGAACTTATCAGTGGTTACCTGAAGTTCTCTTAATTTGTTTGATAATCCGGCAATTTGTTTGATATATATATATTATAATTATAATTCCCTGAGTTTCTCGCAACTTCTTTAAGGTTTCTACAATTTCCTTGAAATTGTTTGAATTGCCTTTTGATTCTATAATCTATCTTGATGCTCTCGAAGCTTCCCTAAAACGTACAATTCTATTGAAGATCTCGGTTCTGCTGCTCGGAAATAAATGGAATTCCCGTGAAAACCTTTAAATTGCTCTGAAATTCTCTGGACTTCTGTGAAGTTTCTGAAATATTTCTGAAGTTTTCATAAATTCTCTGAAGGACTCTGTACTTCCCTGAAATTCTCGGAACATCTTAAGGGTTCTCGATTTTTTTCAGCACATCATGGAACTATCTTGATTTTTTTTTTCTAAATTTACGATTATAGATATTTAAACTGCTCCAAAAGTTTGAAGTAAAGCTTAAGGTCTGAAATTCCCCAAAAAATCTCTAGATCTAGCTTTTCTGAGGTACTTAGAACTTCTTAAAAAAATGGGTTACCTCATGTTTTCTATATTTCTCAAGTTCGCTTGACACCTGTGAAGTTCTCTGAAATTCTAGGAACTTCATAAAAGTTCCCGAAAATTTTCGGATGCTAAAACTTCCCCATATTTTCAGCGTATTAACTTCCCTTATGTTCCTGCAGTTTGTTTATGGAGCTTCACTGAAATTCTCATCATTTCGCCAAAGTTCCTACAAACTTTAAATAAATCATTTATTTTTTCCTTGATTCTGGCACTTTGAAAATTTTCAATATCTTGAACTTGTACATGGAATACGAAACTTCAAGATATTGAATAATTTTAGATCTTGGAATTACTCAAATTGGGTAAGTTTTTTACAACTTTATTAAGTGAGAAATCAAGTAAGTGATAAACTTCAACATTCAATGGTTTTGATTGTAAAGCTGTTTCTGTAAAACTGATTGACATGTCTTAAAAACGTTTGGGTAAATTGCTGTTGTTTTTGATCTACAAAAAAAAAGGAATATTGTTAACGCATTTAAAAATTTAGCTTTATTATAAACCTGGAAAATTTATCCGTTAAAATACTGGAAAAATCTGGAAAAGTCAGATAATTCTATTCAAGGTTGCAAAGACTCATTTCAGTTAAAACAATGTTTTTCTAAATTATGAAATAATTAGATGCCATGATCAAATTCTGAATTGGTAGGATACAAGAAGAGGTTGCAAAGAATGTGTTTGACATATTAAACCTGTTTATTTCACTTCATGAGAGTCACAATCAGCGATTTTCCACAAACTCACTCACTCACCATCTTTTGGTTTTATTATTCCGAAAAACATTATTTTAGCTGAAATGAGTCTTTACAACCTTGATTCTATTTAGAAAAATTAATAGACACCCTGTAGATAGAGAAAGACGATTAAACGTCTAAAGCAAAGAATGATCAATCTTGAGATAAATTCACGCTAAAAAAGTTGAACATAGTGACTTATTACAAGAAAAGGTGACTTTAGTTACTTGGCCTTAAAAAAGGAGACTTTTTAGTGACTGGTTTGAAAAAAGTGACTAAGTCACTAAAAACTGACTCACTACCAGCCCTGCTGGTCTGTCAACTTCAATCTGATTACATTTTTACGACTGAGCAATCCTGTTATTTTTCACATTTTTCTTTAAATGAAATATACGCATTGCAAAATGCGGTTGATTTCGAGTTGTCGTTAATAGAACAGCTGGAAAGGTTTCAATCATGCTTATCCAATAAATAAAAAAAAACACTTCTATATCTCCTCGCCCCACCACATTGATTCAATTGAAAGGTTTCATCGAGGAATATATCATGTGAAGTTTTTTAGAACCAAAAATAACATTGGACGTAGGAATGAAGAATATAGGTATTTCTATGCGCATAACAGATAGTTCGAATCCGCAAGGTCTGGTCACTTTACCGTACATCTTTTAAATTTTGGAACATTTCACAAACTGCTACTCAAAACTAAACAAAATTAGGTAATCTTAAAGTACTATAGATCGCAACACAAGATGGCATATTTGTGCCTTAAATTCACACATGGGAAACAAAATTCGCACCCTGTAGCGATACGCTTTCCTGAGGCAGAGTGATAAACTTATAAATTCCTTCGCCCTCCTGCGATGCATCTCCGTTTGTTACTTCTTCATATAGCGTGGAGAACTGCTCTGCCGATCATGGCATGTTTATCCCATAGCTCGAATCAGCAAGCCGAGAAAAACGTGTTTTAAGTTTAATTTGTACCATTCTCGATAACTTTTTCATAGGGACGTATCAGCTTTTGTACACAATGCATTTGATCGTCGATTTGGCGTAACTGGTAGCTCGCCCAAGCATGCTAACACTGCCATCAGATAAGGGAAATTTTCCTATACCTGCTAGTGGTGTTAGTAAGCGTGTGCGAGCTATCAGTTACGACCAATCGACGATCAAATGCATTGTTTACAAAAGCTGATACGTCCCTTTGAAAAAGTTATCGAGCATTGCTTCTTTTGTGATGGGACAACAAGCTTGGCTGTTTTCCCCTGTGTTCATCCAGTATTATGAAAATCTAGGTGATTAGTTACCATTTCCGCCAAGCATGGAATAAACAATATAACTTACAACGCTTATTTTTTGCAGATCATAGAGCATCTTTTGGAATAGCTTTTGGATTAAATTTCTTTGGAAAACCCCGGTGCTTGGAATAGGGTCTCGGGGGTCTGAAGCCGTTCTCCATCCTACCTACTGGGAAACGATATGACACAAACACAATTTGAAATTCCAGTTCTTATCAACAAATTCTCCCCGAACACAATAACGCTAATATCATGATACGTTTACCGTGGAAATCACCTGCTCGTTCGCAAATACAATCGCTATTGTTGTGAATGAAATATTTATTTACTGGCGAAAGACTACATGCAAAATAACACTACCCAAAGCTATAAAGACTGTGCTACCTTGCGACATAATATATCCTCATGCTGCTTGACTTATTGCTGCAGTAGTACCACTCTCATCGGCCAGCTCTAGAGTTGGGTGTGGGTTGAGCGAACATAGCTAGCACAAATCTCTCCAGGAAAATGTCAATGGGATCATTCCGATGGAAAACAAAACCCTTACCAAGAGAATACGTAAAAGCAAATCTAGCATAATCTTAAGAGCAGAAAAAGAGCATCGTTTCACTGCTAAGTAGTAGTAGTAGTTGCTGTTGTTGAATGATGGGAGCTCTCTTTCTCCTAATGCCTATGGTAGCTGAAGAAAGTGACGATCGCAGCGAGCGGTTTCGCGCGAACATCAGGCGGCCAAATCCTAGTGCAGCCGGGAACCATCCGGGGACTTGCATGGCGTCGCCCGTTCCTCCCATTTGCTGTGCTTCTCCGGCGTCAGATGGGTGATGTGCACGTGGATTGCTTGCACCTTCTCGAACTTGGGCGGGATGGCGCACAGTCGGTAGCTGACCTCATCACCCGGCAGTGGCACGTACTCTCCCTCAATGCTGCGTCAATTAATTAGAAGAAGTGGGAAGAGAAAGAAAAAGAAGGATTTTGATTAGGAAATAGTGACGTGAGTTGTAGGTTTAATACGGTGAAATATATTCCCAAGCTACGGACGGGGTGCAAAATGGGGAAAAAAGATTATGGGGTAGTGAAGTGCTCAATCTTCGAGGTTTTTCGGTATTATACTGCCACATAATAGTGCTATGAGAATACGAATTACATTGTAGGGCATGGGACTACGATGCGAATACTGATAATGTTTTTCGAAAATTGTGTGCTTGGAGTGGTTTCTGAGTGTTCTAAGCAGGCAAGCCGGATGTAGACAGTGTGTTCCTGAGCTCTCCAAATGACTACCATTGAACTAGTTTTTGAAATCTCATGTGATTTAAGGAATCGCATGAAGGATTTTGACCCTGGGGGCCTCATAGCCTAGTCAGTAAAGGCACGGTATTACCAATTCGGAGGCGGCGGGTTCGATTCCCAGTCCAGTCGAGGGAATCTTTCGGGTTGGAAATTTTCTCGACTTCCCTGGGCATAGAGTATCATTGTGCTTGCCACACAATATACAAATTCATGCATTGGTATTGGCATCGAAAGCTCTCAATTAATAACTGTGGAAGTGCCTTTAGAACACTAAGTTGAGAGCACGCAATAAGCTAATATGCGCTAAGCAATAAGCTTGAAATGCGAACAAGAAGAAGAAGAAGAAGAAGAAGGATTTTGACCCTAGTTAGTAAATGGTCACTACACCGGGGGTTCTCGAAACATGGCCGAATGCAGCCAGTGTGTTCCTGGGAACTCAAAATGACTACCATTGAACTGGTTTTGAATTCTCATGCCATTTGATGTGTCACATGATGGGTTTTATTCATTTCAGGTCGGATTTCGTCTCATGGAACCGCATAACCGATTCCAAGAATATTCAAACGCGTTCTATAGGACCATTTGGTGGTTGTTGCAACCAATTCGGTTCAGAGATTGTGAAAAACATGACCTACAACATTTTCGTGACACAGACGTTTTGTTTTACGATCTTGTCGAGCTGAGTTGATAGGTATATGACACTCGGCCCTCCGGGCCTCGAATCGAAAGTCTGTTTTCCAAGCGGTATGTATACCCTTATTTGTAAGAAGGGTAAAAGGTAAAACGGAAACTTACTCTGAGATGTGCACGAAAATATCGTCATCTTGGGCCACGGGTGTGATGAAACCGTGACCTTTGCTCCTGCAGAAAGATTTCACTTTTCCCTCCTCAATGGGGTTGCGCATCGCACGGTCCGATCTGCAAAAAAAGAGAAATATATACAGAGTGAGAAATATATACAGAGTGAGAAATAAGCAAAAGTGAAATATTGATATGGGTTACGCGTAGAATGGCTGCTAATTTGGCTCTATGTTATTTATTTTTTATCATTTCATATCGTAACGGACGGCCTGTCGGTCTAGAGAGGGTGGAAATGATGCGCTTATTTTCATGGTTCATTAGCTCCTTAATGGACAACTGGTATCATACCCGGTCATGTGCTCATTGCTTTCTATTCAAATTCATCTGTTCGGATGCATGCTGTCAACAAATTAATCGAATAATGCAATTAGTGTTGCGTCATAAACATTGGATTGGATTGGCAGTTCGCTTTCAGCAGTCAGAAGCTGGCTTATCAGATGCGACCCGACGTTTGTGATTCTGTGTCCGGCTTCCTTTTCAGTGATTTTGTACTGTAGCGGGTAGGGTGCTGAACGCATTTTTGACCTGCATACCCTTAATGAAGAAGCTCATAACCGATTCATCGACAACCACAGGTGTCCAATAACTCTGCAAATCGATGTCGTGTGGTCGCCGATAAGCCCGCGAGTTGAACAGAAATGAATAGAATTAAAGATTTTTTTCACTGGTTCAATGGTAGCAATCATTCTTATTCCAAAATACGATCGAAACGGATTTCCGTATCGAATGAAATAGAGCATAGAGGAGACTACCTTTGCACCTGCACACCAAATTGTGGGCATTTTTTTTTTTTTTTTCCTTTGGTTTGTTTTTTCCGTCGATCTTGTTTTCCGTGCTGAGCACCAATGCTACCGACGTGCCAGGAAGGCAGCTCCCACACCTGGACCCTACCTATCGACCCATCAACTCATGAACCGGGGACCAACGGCTTTACTTCCCATCCGAAGGAAGGCGTGATCAGAGATGTTATGCCTCAGAACATCCCGGCGGCGCCGACTGGGATTGAACCCAGGCCTGTTGGGGTGAGAGGCAATCACGCTTACCACTACACCACCGGCGCCTCAAATTGTGGGCATTGTAGCCATTCTCCTAAGTTTCTACGAAAGGAAATTGATCAACCTGCCCAAAATACATCATTTACCATAAATGTGTGTTCTGAGTCAATACGTCCAAATTGATGGTCAGCTAATTGAATGGGGTCTCAGATAGCCTAGTCAGTAAAGGCACGGCATTACCAAACCGGAGGCGGCGGGTTCGATTCCCTGTCCGGTCGAGGAAACCATTCGGGCTGGAAATTTTCTTGACTTCCCTGGCCATAAGAGTATCATGTGCTGTGCTTGCCACACAATATACAAATTAATGCATTGGTGTTGGCAATGAAAGCGCTGAATACCAAGTTGGAAGCCGACAAAATGCTCGGAAAAGAAGCGTGAAAAGCTTAAGAAAAGAATAAGTAATTGAATGAAGCATCCAGCGAGGACATTGACGAACGAAGGTAGCCAATGATTGAAGTTGAGCAATTTAGAGAGAAGAGTTGCTGACATTGTATGTTAACACTGATGGAAACAGTTTCCGAAATATCCGGATATTCGCCATCGAAAACGAAATAGCAATCTAATTTTGCATGAAAAAGCCATTTTATTCATGGTTTTGAAAAAAACAGTTACACATTTTTTTTTAAATTCTTCTTCTTGGTTATTACTTCTCATTTGGCATTTTGAGAACATCATCAATAACACGCAATTACTGATTAATTAGGCAATCGGGAAGCATCACTGTACGCTTCGCAATTCCTTACAGCGTTGATAAAAATCCAGGCACAGTGCTTACCCGTTTTTGACAATACGACCCCATCAGCTATTACTTTCCTCAATTTTTTTAAATAGAGGAAGGGCATAGTGAACAGGTGGGGAATAGTGAGTTTCCAGTGCTTTAGCCTTGGATTTCTTATGGTTCGAAAAATATTAATTAGTCTGACTGTTGCAAAACTCAATCCTATGGGCAAAAATTCCTTCAGTTCTCCTACATCTTCATGGTGACCAGCAATTCTCGATTAGCAATTTCCCGATTTTTCTCCGGTTTTTCCCGGAATGTTGGAAATTTTCCCGGTTTGGCGATTTACATTTGAATTAAGTATAAAACTGAATGCGATTTTTTTCCTTGATTTGTTTTCCGTCGATCTTGTTTTCCGTGCTAAGCACCAATGCTACCGACGCCAGGGAGGCAGCTCCCACACCTGGACCCTAAATATCGACCCATCAACTCATGAACCGGGCACCACCGGCTTTACTTCCCTTCCGAAGGAACACTTGATCAGAGATGTTATGCCTCAGAACATCCCGTCGGCGCCGACTGGGATTGAAGCCAGGACTGCTGGGGTGAGAGGTAATCACGCTTACCACTACACCACCAGCGCCGCTATGAATGCGATTTAAACGAAGTTAAATAGGTCATCTCTTAGACATCAGCATCTTTCTTGGATCTAGAATTTGGTTCAACGACACGTTCGAAGTCTTCACAAATCGTCTATGAAAATTCACTCAAAACTTTACAGGATTTCATTTGATTGTTCTCAAGAATTCCCTTTAGAATAATTTCCTTTCAGAATTCTGCTAAAATAAATTTGAAATTTTCTCTGGGAATCCGTTGAAAATTTTCTTTATAACAGTCCAGAAATTCTGTATAGACCACTCTAAAAAAATCTTGGAATTCGTCCTCTTAGAATTTTAAACACTGAAGCTTCCATTTTTTTAATTCGCTTGAATTCTCGGAATTTTCCGTAGAATTCCCATACAATTCACCTCAGAATTGAACAAGGACTATCAGTTTTTGTGAGCAAACTACAGTAAAATGTCCGGTCGATTTTTGCACGGTTCAATTTTGGCATGGTTAGATTTTGGCAACAAAACCACAAACTGTTCATTTTCGGCACGGGGTTCGGTTGAGAAACACCATGCCAAAATCGAACGAATAATTTATTTTTGCTGCTTGTGATAACAATTTTTAATAAAAGATTAATTATTAATAAACGCTTGTAGCCAAAACCGAACGGGTACTGTTATCCCCTAATAGAAATTGAGAGAAGTGGCAATACTGCACTTTCGATGCATACACAGATCAAAAAAGTGAACGACAACGTATATAAATCAGTCAGGGAATTTGACGATCATTTTTCCCCGGATATTATTGTCAAACAAGCTAGAATTAAATAAAAACAGTGTTATCCCATACATTTTTACCCGCTTTACTACCAGTCTCAAGAGAGTCAAAACATTCAAATTCAAGAGTGGAAATTTTCTCTCACGAGCTCAATTTCGCAACTTGCCTTATATATCGATGTCATTCGATGTGTGATTTCCCTTCCACATACTACAAAATATAGTACCTAGCCCTGAACAAATGTTGGAACCCTTATTAAGCCTGGATGTTCCATCCAGGGGCGGAGCTTGGTATGCATTTTTGTCGTCGAATATGTAAGAAAGGAGGGACCCTGGATGTTCATACAACTGCATATATAGAGGTACCAAACATGTTTTGACCATACTGCCCTCTGTTAACAATTAACGGAACCTAATTGTGTGTGCAATTTCCGATATTTGTCACAATTGAGAACAGCAGTGAGATCTGAAGGAAAATTAACGAAGAAGCATGTCAACATGAATAATTATCTCCAAATGTTGCTCAGAATTAACTTGTAGTTCACCTCTAAATTCCTCTGGAATTCTCCGCAAAAAACCTCTAGAAATTCCTCGGAATTCACATACTTATTTTGGAACTGTACCCTCTCCAAAGAGCTACTTACATTTGCAAACATAAATAAACTCAATCTGCTCAAAATGAACTTTACTGAACTAGCCGAGCCCCGGCCTTTTCCAACCACGACTTAATCAGACAGAATCACCAACTAATCATTTGATGATAATTCCTCGATTTTCCTCAGTAGTGGTAGTAGACTGAGCGATGACTTAACACTCAGACTACAGAACTCAGTTAGCTAGCATAGGGATGTCCATAAAGCATCCCACCAATGAAATATAATCTCTTCTGGCCTTTGAGATCTGTTGTATCTTACACATTGTTTACTCCGAACTAGTCAAAATTCTCTTAGAGATTTTCGAACATATTCTCTAAAATTCCCTGGTCTTATCTCTAGAATTTATTCTAAAATCTGCTGATATTTGTTTTCTAAGATTCTCTTAATAGTTCTTCAAAGTATCATGATAATTGATATTGAAATCCTATTTTTTCTTCGAAGAAAGGACGAAGTATTTATTTTTTTCGATTTGTCGTTGAGTTTTACAGGATTTCCCATTTTACCGGTGACTTCAAATTCCCGGCTTTTTTGCGGTTTTCTCGATTTCCCGGCGAACATGGAACTGCAAGCCTCTCAATTTCTTGGGAATTACCCGCATTCTTTCCGATTTATTGAGGGTCCGCAAGTTCGACATCGTAGCGCTGCGGGAGGTTTGCTGGAAGGGATCGTCGGTACATACGTACACTGAAAATAAAATTTCGTTTATACAACGAAATCGCTCGTTTGTTCTACGAATTTATTCGTTGTTTTCTGCAACGAAATGGATTTGTACATTGTATGAAGCTAGTTTCGTTAGAACTGCCACACTCGCTATCGCTACACCCAACCAGCGGGCCACAAGTGTTGGTTGTGGAGACCGAAAAATGTGGAGTGTGTTAGTGAGGATGGGTAAAAATAACTTCATTATTGTAAGCGATAAACATGACAAAAATATAAAAGTAGACTTCAGACCGGACTCGAATCATGAACCTTGTAATAGCCAGATTTGCACCTTATCCATCACTCTATCTGTGCTACGAGAAAGGGAAAGGCTTAAGACAAATAAGAAGTACTCATGGAGCGGTAATTCGATTTCGTTTGCTTTTTCTGCTGCTTGCATGTATTTTTTTTTCTCTGACATAAAACCACCGTGACCAGTATTTTGATTTATAATGGTAGCTTGCATGTATTGGTCAAACCAGTATCCCATCTCCAACACACAATCAGAACTTTAGGAGACAATAAGCGCAGTTGTTGGTTTGAT